GTGATGAAAAATCCCAGCAAACACAGTTATATGACAGCAACATTGACTCAATAAAACGTAAAATAACATGCAATATAACCTATACGTTGCATGTAACGTATATGTTAGTTGTAATTTCCCACTCACAGAAAATTACGGTTATATAGCATTAATATAACTCGTTATATTACGCAGTTACATTACAGTACTATAACTTGTAATGTTACTTTGTTACATTACGTTATAGTACTGTAATGTAATTGTTATATTGTGCACCATTAATAATCTAATTTGCCTTTTGCATATACTAATCTTAGAAAAGGTCTTTGAATTAATTTTAAGCGAAAGCAAACCATTTCATTTGTTTTCGCTTGAAATTAATTCAAAAATCTTTTCAGAAATTTGTATATGCAAAAGGACACGTTTTTGTATAGGAAAGGATAAAATATAAATATATTGAATCATAATTATAATTTGCACTTGATAAACATATATTCAAATATATATTAAATATTAACTGATAGAGCATTATATAAAAAAATATAACATTAGACATATTAACATGCTCATTGAGGATGTAAAGCTTATTCTACGATAGACACAAAAGACAAAACGCTAAGCAGCAACGCAAGAAATCGGCCAATGACGGTCAATCATTCTTCTCATATTTCATTGTGATTGGTCGATTTCTAGCGTTGCGTCTTCACGTCTTGCGTCCATTGTAAAATAAGCTTTGGACATAACATGTTTACAGTTACTTAAATCGCAATCATAGTTTCAAATACATAAATATATCAATATATATACTTATATAGATAAATAATGAGAATATATTTGAGGAAAAACATATTTTCATTATTCAAAATAATTACTTTTATAAAAGAAAAAAATATTGAAGAGAATCTAACATCTTTGAGAATTAGAATTTCTTAACATTATCAAAACAATCATTATTATATTATCACATATTATTACCAAACAATATCACATTATTATCAAATTATACTTCTTAAATTACTATTATAATTATGAGATTAAGATTATAATACTGAATAAAAATATACTACTTTGTTAAAATTTTCCAGCAAACAAAAATAACAAAATAAAAATTCCATTTTCTGTCGTACATATATAATATTATACAAAGTGTACCAAAAGTCTGGAAACTGGTCGAATATTTCATAAACTATGCATTGTTTCCAGACTTTTGGTACACCTTGTATATGTATATTAACATTTCAAAGATTTTTAATAAAGCCGCGATGAAATAATAAGTTTATCGCTTATTTAGGATCTTGTAGCCTAATTTGCTTCATTATCTTCATTGACGGTTTCTTTTGCTTTAGCTCTCTTACTTCTTTGATTGGCAAACCGTATCCATTCGGAAGTAATAGCATCAAACTCCGTTTCGGTAAACATTGCGTAGCGTAATGTTACCTCTCCTGAAAAGGTAAAAGAAATAATACAATTATGAAAAAAGTTGATCACACAGTTAAGAAATTGTACATTTACTTATCTATAACTTACTTTTCATAATTTTTATTAAATGTAAATCGGAAATTCTAAAATTATTCCGCAATCCCTTCCACGAACATTGTATTGCGCATTCATTCGTTATTGTTTTATTTAATATTCGATGAATATTGTCCTTGCCATTGTGTCCGCCAGTTTTTGACATAAACTCTTTCTAGAAAAAAAATATTTGATATACATATATTCTAATTAATCACAGTAATAATATAGAATAATTATAAAAGAAGTGTAGCATGAAGGTCTTTATTAATAATTTTTTATCTAATTAATTATTTTTGGTAATATTTTTCAACGAAATAACTATGCTTACATATTGATAAAAAACACGAACAACTTTGAAAACATTTAACTTAAGAATCTCAAAAAAATTTATATCATGATTAACGACGCACAATCGTGTCAAAACTTTCTATACCTACAAATTGTATCACTGCCTCATTTGATGTTTTCAAAAATGCATCAAACTCTTTTATAGCCGTAATCGACGACAATGGTAAAAATGGTGCAATAAGATTATCATTGATTGCATCAGGACTTCGAGTACGCTGTTTAATAGCATCTTCTATTTTTGCTAATCGTTTCTCCATATTTCTCAAAGTTATGTTTGATGCAGCTTGCATACGCATCATTTGTTGTAAGCTTTCTACAATGAGACAAAATGTTACATACCTATACAATAGTGATATTGTATAGTCATATAGAAACGACTTATGTCATTTGAATAATGACATAGGTAAAAATTATAACTTTTGGAGAATTGAAAAACTTTCTAATTTTTCAACTGGAGTATTAAAAATAAATAAAAACATAAAAATCTCATTATTTTAGACATTAAATGAGTGGAACCCATGGGGCGGTAGATTTTACAGGCAGAAGCTGCATCGCAAGATACAGGGTCACGTCCACTTTTACGAAGCATTTAAAAAGACTTTTCATTATTAATTATCTTTAGTGCCTCGTATGTTTGATAATGATAAACATTTCTAAATGTCTTAGAAGTGAAAATGACCCGGCGTTGTATACTTGCACACGACTTTTGCATACCTAACCTACGACACCATTTTTCACAAAAACTAACTGCAAACCAGGAATACTAACAAAAATATATACAAATATACTTATATTGCATTATAATATTACTGATTTTTAATACTTTTAATTAAGATTGAGTGTAAAAATTAACGATTACCTTGGAAGAAAAAACGCACACGCGGCTCACACGACGTACCGGCGACAGACGACGAGAAGAATGCGAGAGCGCCACTGCGGTGATCAATGGCGGTAAAAGCGGGGACGTTTATAACGTATATGTTATATTCATGTTATTATGTACATGCCATAACATAAATATAACATGTCTATATAACACGTTGTATAACGGCAAAGTAGCGATAACATGTGACTTGTTATATTACGTGTTATGTTTGAGTTATATTGCTGTACAGTAATAATAACCAGGAAATAACACAAGAATGAAACAGTTAGATAACATTATTACATTGTAGTTAGAAGAGAAAATTATGTTACTTCAACGTTACTAACATATAATAGTCGTTATATTACCTGTTACTCCTGTGTTACATAACATTTATATTCTGTGTTTGCTGGGACTTGACGAAAGACATCGTATCTTTCGATATACTTAACCTTACTTATAGAAACAGCCAATCAGACAATTTAAAAGTTGTCGGTAAACCGTTTTCGTCCCATACGGGGTACCTCGTTAAACATTG